ATATATATATATATATATATATATATAAATGGAGAATCTAGAAAGTGGAGTCAGGGAGTCAAGGGTATTCACACAGCGTAGGAAGGGTCAATACGCTGATACGTGTGACCACAAGAATGCCAGCTCAGCACATACGTCATCTTCATGAATGAAACGGACTCAAGACCTTCTATTTCATCTAGATGTTTTCCTTACAAGCATCCAAATATATATATATCCGCATTTTTTGTTTTATTTTTTTTTTACGAAATTTTTGAAAGAGGACAAAGTTTGTATAATTATTTGGTACTTTTTTTTGGATAGTTTCAGACAATACACATAATTAGTATGAAAAACTGATTTCAAAATTAATTCGTACTAATTTTGATTTTAATATTACACGAATCTCATTTTTCTAAATTACGATATTATTAATGATATATTGTAAATTTTATGCATAAATAGATCTAGAATAACATTTATCGTGAAATAGAATGAAATGTGGAGCATACTAATATATAGATTTATTGTTTTAACAATTCAATTAGCTAAACGGCTCTCTCAAATTAATTAAACAAACCGAATTTAATTAAAATAGAATTGAATTTTTATTTTGGTGAAAAAGTGGTTCGTGAAAAGGTCGACAAAGGCATATCCAAATTGTCGTTTTCATATCACATTTCCCAAATGAGTTTTTTTTTATTAGGGCAAATTAGGCACGTTTTTCCAAAAAACATAAATAAAAAAACGGAATGGTAATCCGTGTCTGATAGGTGTTCCAGTTGGCAGTGCCACGTAAGCAGTCTCACGCGCATCCGTATATATATCTGTCCTTCAGTCCCGACACGTTCTCAGATCAGTCGAAGCATTTTTTTTCTTCAGGTGATCAACACATACAGCAGCCACCACCCCCCCCCCCCCAAAAAAAAAAAAAAGAATTCATACAGAACCAAAAAAAAGTTCTGGGCATGCAATTTCCGGACAAGAGAACCGAATTCTCCGGAGCTCAAGCCTCTGCGTCGAATTCTGATCTGACCCGGTTTCCGTACCCGTACCCGTACCAGTTTCCTCCTCTGCAGCGGCGGCTCTCGCCAGAGCAAGAGCTCTCCGTCATAGTCTCCGCCCTGAAACACGTCATCTCCGGTGACGAAACGGCGCCGTTCCACGGTTTCTCAGAACAGAGTACTGTGATCGGTGCAGGGATGCCCCGGTCGGATACTGACACGTGTCAGGTATGTAAGATCGACGGTTGTCTGGGATGCAACTACTTCTTCCCACCAAATCAACGAACCGAAGATCAAGGAGGAGAAAAGCAGAGTGTAGTGGCGAAGAGGACGACACAAGTGGAGGGCGGGAAGATAAGGAAGAGGAGGAACAAGAAGAACGGATACAGGGGAGGGAGGCAGAGGCCGTGGGGCAAGTTCGCGGCTGAGATCAGGGATCCCAAGAGAGCGACACGTGTCTGGCTGGGGACATTCGAGACGGCAGAGGAGGCGGCTCGAGCTTACGACCGAGCCGCCATTGGCTTCCCAGGGGCACGGGGATGAATTTTGAGGAGGCGGCTCGAGCTTACGACCGAGCCGCCATTGGCTTCCGAGGGCCACGGGCCAAGCTGAACTTCCCATTCATGGACTACACTTCAGCTGCTGCTGCTGATACGAGTGTCAGTGCCAGTGAGAGTGCGAGTTTGACGAATTCTCATGAGGGTGAAATGGAAACAGAACAATGGCGAAGTGAAGGAGGAGATGGAGAGATGGAGGAATGGATGACTATGATGATGATGGATTTTGGGACTGGAGATTCTTCTGATTCAGGGAACACCATTGCTGATCTGTTTCAGTGATGGATTGCACTTCGGACAAGGAATCTTCATTCGTGTTCGAATCTGAATTTTAGGAGGGAAACTAATATATAGTGGGCGATGACAAGCTGGTTTGATGCAACACAGAAGAATCTCTTGTGGGCGTTTTTTTAGTTGAGAGCAAGAGAGAGACATAACAATGGTGGTCTTCTGGGAAATTGTTCTTGTCAAATGGCAAGCAAGATTTTTTAGATGTTTTTTTTTCTCTTACACTTGCAGAGTTCAATAAAGTGGTTGGCAAATGGAAACGTAAACTACAGAGCGAAACATGAACTGAAAACAACATATATATATATATTTTCTCTTCCGTCTATATCGTAAAATTTCATAAACTGAAATTAAAGATCACACGAAAACTCGGACAAGAACAAGAACCAGAAAGGAAGAAACTTGGACATGAAAATGTACAGACCACAACACAATTCTCATCCTTGCCCATAGATGTTTATGATTGTTCTCTCACAAGGCATCACGGGCAGCGATTCGACAAACTATTGCATCACCAAGGGAGGATACTCCGAGTTCTTGGCTCGGAATCTTGTAATGCTGAAAGAATCAAACACAATACAAATATTCTTGTGTTAAGACAGATAAGATACACAACTTATGCAGGTTTCCCAGAAGTTATATACCTTTAGTATCTGGCTCTGATTTGCCCGAGTTTTCAGCTCCTCCAACTCAATCTCCTTTCCGTTGATCAATTTCGCAACCTTGTCCATCTAGTACATCGCCAAATTGTATCTCAAAACGTAATACAGACTAAAGATCATGCAAATGATTTCATCGGAGAAATCCTCACCTCGTCGGGGGAAGAATTGAACCGGGCAGCAAGTATGTAGGTTGAGTCATCCGAGATTCCACATCGTTTCAAGGATTCTGTAATCTAAGTTCAAGGAAAGACAGGAACTTGAACAGATTAAAGAGCTGGGCAGGGATTGTTAAGATAAACTAATGAAGTTCTTACATGCTTAGATCCAGAGTAGTTGTAGACAAGCTCAGAGTGAAGAGTTCGTGTTGTTAGCAAGTCCCGTGATTTCGAGACAAGTGCTTTATGAGCAGCAGCTAATAGAGGAAATATATCCGGGATCTGATTCAACGGACAGGACCAAGAACACATTTTCAGAGAACAAAACATTAGGAAACATGAAGGAGATTTCGATTTGAGGATATGGTGGAGAAACCGTACGAGTGATGCATTGAGAAATGCGACCTCCGGATCAAGAGTTCCAGCTTGAATCGAGTTCAAGAGATCCCTGGCACGATTCCAGAACACAACAGTTGAAAGAAGCAGTTCCATGAACTGAGGAAGCTTTTCTAGTTTGGATATTCAAAGGGAAGAACGTAAATGAGACTCGTCCAAAGTCATTTAAGATCTCACTCACACAGACGAAGCATCAAAGTTTCTCATTCTGAGAAGCTGGAACAATACAAAAGTGGAAGAGCAACCGTTCCCAAACTCAAGTGCCAAATCTTTCCGACAAGCAATCATCAAGTAAAAAAACAGAGCAGGCATCGGAGATTAACCTAACCATTTTCCCCAAACCCATCAGGTCCAACCTCGATACAAGCACAGTAATGTCTCACAGAGGGAGAGAGAGAGTACTTGGAGTTGGTGACGTCGGAGAAGAGGGAAACAGAGAGAGTGTTTCCGTCGTTGATATTGAAAACCTTCATCGCCGGAGTCCGATACAGAATTTCCGGTGCGAGAGCAAGGATGCAGAGAGCTAGGGTTTTCGTAAAGATCACTTTTTTTTTTTTATGGAGGAATTTTTTTATATAAAAAAACAGATTAGCCTTTTTCCCGAATCCACATTAAAAAAAGAGAGACGAACAAAAAACAGACGTCGCGCCAGGTAGGGGTCGAACCTACGACTTTCTGCTTAGGAAACAGACGCTCTATCCACTGAGCTACAGGCGCTTTTATGCTAATATCACATTTTATTTTTATTGGCCCCCCATATTTTGTACCTTACTTTCTTCCCCGAATCTATTCCTCTTCATCATCATCTACGTTATATCATATGATACCAAATTTAATTTTTAGATTTAGCAGATTCTGGTTTTCCAACGAAGAACATATTCTTTTCCTCTTGTGGTTTTGGTTCAAACCCCATATTTTGTTCCTTGTTTATCTTGCTTTCTTTATTCCCGAATCTATTCCTCTTCATCCTCTCTCTCTCTCTCTCTCTCTCTCTCAAAGCATGACCTGCAAGTTTCAAGAGAATCAAGGCTGTTCCTTGTTTTTCGAGTCGGTCGGCCTAGAGGAATCATCTTTCCCTCTTGGCCCTCCGAGGGTCTCCATTATAAATACCGGAGTCTGGAATTTCATTGTGCTTTAAAATCCAGAGGCTGCTGAGATCGGCGGAAGACCGAACGTACAGTGATGTCGAACGTGAGCTTTCTTGAGCTGCAGTACAAGATCTCCAAGAACAGGTTCTTGAGGAAGCCGTCGAGGATGTTCTCCAGACAAACCTCTGGCCTGTCGGCGTCCCCGGCTTCTGTTTCTCAGCCCGACATCAACGAGATGAGGCGGGTTTTCAACCGGTTCGACTCCGACAAAGACGGGAGGATCTCTCAGAGGGAGTACAAGGCTGTCCTGAGAGCGCTGGGGCAAGACAAGGCCGTCGAAGAGGTGCCCAAGATCTTCAAGGCCGTGGACATGGACAGGGACGGGTTCATCGACTTCAAGGAGTTCATGGAAGTGCACAAGGCGGGCGGAGGGGTTCGGACTTCGGACATACGAAACGCTTTCTGGACGTTCGATCTGAACGGAGACGGGAAGATAAGCGCGGAGGAAGTGATGTCGGTTTTGAGGAGGCTCGGGGAGAGGTGTTCTTTGGAGGATTGCAGGAGGATGGTGAGGGCTGTAGATGCAGACGGTGATGGCTTGGTTAACATGGATGAGTTCATGACGATGATGACGACGACTCAGAGCATGACTATCATCGTCTGAACTACATATGTCTCTGTCAAGATGTCTGAAACTGTAGGATCAATATATATATATATATATATATGCACATATGTATGTCTATGCTTATGAGATCTCTGTAATATGTTTTCTCCTGTTTTTCTCGTTCTGTAAAGTGACAAAAATCAGGAAAGATATAGAAGAAGCTTGGTGAAGAAACTCACAACTGGACGCGAGTTGCTATTAATCAAATAATTACCGATATCGATCTAATTTTTTAAAATGTAGTTTTGTATAGTTTTATACAAATTTTATAAAATGATATCCAAATCAAAATCTAAAGGATATTAGTGCTGAATGATTGTTTTTATTTTGAGTTTTGGTTTTTAGATTTTAGTTTTTGACTTTTGTAGTTTTTACAGTTTTTGTAAAATTTGATGGGTAAAAATAATATTTAACTTTTTGTTTTAGATTATATATATATATTTAACATTAATATGTATATCTATATATATATATACATAAATATGTATATGTATATATAACTATAGATATAAGATAACTACAATATATATTTTGAACAATGAATTTTGAATTATATACCTCAATTTTTGTTTTTTTATAAAACCGTTTTTCAAATATATGTTGTGGTAAAAAAATTAAAAATGGTAAAAATATTATCTTTTGTATAAATGTGAAATTATTTTTAAAAATTATGAGCATTTTTTTTCTTTTAGAATAATTTATATAATTATTTTTTAATAAAAATAAAAAAGTATATTAATAAATTCTTAAAATCTAAAAATATTGGTGTTTGCAACTTTTCTAAAATAGTGATTTATCGGGTTTTTTATTTATTTTAAAATAAAAGAAATCTTGATTGGAGATTTTTTGATCTTTTAATCTCTAAAAACTGCGTAAACTCTTTCCAAGCCATTGTTTGGTTTCACTTTCATTTAAAAAAAAAATGTTTTTTACCCGAACATAGAAATCCAACTGAATACAATATTTTTAGACAGAAATATTAAAATGTAGAAAATTAGGATGATAAAAGAATTGTTCTTATCCACAATTAAAAAATTAATTAAAAAAACAGAAAATAAAAGGTGGATTTAGTCAAATTTAATCCGTTAAATATATAAAAGAAAACATAAGTCAATGTCAAACCCTCGAGCAAGGCATGGGTGACACGTCATTATACTATTATTATACAGAACTATATTAGTTGTTTTATGAATTAGGAAAAAAAAAATGACGATAGTGGTCGAGCACAGTGCGTGTCGGAAAACAGTGAACAACACGATGTCGTTTCATATCTCGACGTGTTCGTCTCCCTCGCACCTTGTTTTTTTTTTCCTTATTGTGTGACGTATTTCTTTTTTTGTTTCCCCGAAAATCTCTTCTCTCTTCTGAAATTCTGAGAAGACGGGCGCCGAAAGAATTTTCCATGGCGCATTAGCGATCCGCGAATCGGAAGCAAGCAATCCGGAGAACTGAAAGGAGAGAGACAACGGTCTCGAGAGACTCTAATAATCGTGTTCTTCACGAGAAAATCCGATTTCTCTCTCTCTCTCTCGTATATTGTATTTTTCGAGATTCTTCGCCTTTTTCCTTGACGAAATTTGAAAATTTTTGAATGTGTTGATCAGGAAAAAAAAGGTGCTTTTGTGTTTTGATTAATCATTCTTTTTGAAAAAAGTTTTGAGCTGGAGGGTGTTTGAAAAATTCAATGCCATTGTGTTTTCTATCTTTCTGAGTTCCAATCTCTCTCTCTCTCTCTCTCTCTCTGTGTGTGTGTGTGTGTGTGTGCCGCAGCCATGGCCGATGACCAGTCTATCCTCCCCAAGGTACCTTCGCGTTCTTTTTGTTGGGTTTTTTTAGGTTTTATTCTGTTCACGCTTTGTCTAGTGGCAATCTGCACGTGAGTGTTGTGATCTGATTAGGGTTTGTTTTGGGTGGAGCAATCTTGATGATTTTGTCCTCTAGTTGTAACACTAAGCCTCGATTTCGTGACGAATCTCTCAGCTTGATCTAATATGCTTTTTTATATACGCTTGTTCTGTAAGCTTGACCCTTTTGTGGCATCTGGGTTTGACGCAATATTGGGATACTATGATTCTGTTTTGTAATTTTCTTCGGACAGAGACTAAATTTAAGGTAGCCCATGTTAGTTTCCCTTGTTTTAAGGATGGTTTTTCTTTAATGCATTATTTTGCAGGATAGTTTCATTTTCAAGCTTCCTAAGAAGTCACCACTCGTGTTGAGGATGGTCGTCCTGATGTTTGTAATGGTCTGTGCTATCTACATTTGCTCGATTTGTCTGAAGCAAATAGGCGTAGGGCCAAAGGCTGGATTTTTGAACGTTGAGGTGTTTCAGAGGCCTTGTCCCGAGCCTAATATCGAACCGTGGGATATACCGTATGTGCATTATCCTAATCCAAAGACCTATAGCAGGTGAAGAAACTGAGCCTTTTTTCTCTGCTCGGGTCTGTGTGTATGTTGATAGTTGTTTGTGGGTTGGAATGAATGATCAGGGATGAATGTTCGTGCCATCCTGTGAGGTATTTCGCCATTCTCTCCATGCAGAGATCTGGAAGTGGTTGGTTTGAGACTTTGCTAAACAATCATACTAACATTAGCTCCAATGGGGAGATCTTCTCGGTCAAAGATAGGAGGGCCAACACTTCCACCATCTTTGAGACCTTGGACAAAGTTTATAATCTGGACTGGTTGAGTAGTGCCTCTAAGAACGAGTGCACTGCAGCCGTTGGTTTGAAGTGGATGCTTAATCAGGTAAGGGTTCTATTTTTGAATTCATTGATAGTCGCTAGTGTTAATCCATGATTTTCTTCTCTGTTATTTCTTTTATCTGTTTGGCAGGCAAGTGTACTCTCTGATCATAATCAGTCATAAGTAGTTCCACTTCATCAAATATCTCGCAAATACTGTACAGAGCTTGTGTTTTCTGGATGGTTATATCCTTGAGATGTTGGATCAATAAGTTTTCAACTCTTGCCTTTAGATAAATCCTAAACCTAAAGCACTCTCTAGATTGAGTCCTTGTCTCTTGGTCACCTTGCATATGGGTAAAACAAAACTAATTCCTCTGAAGCCAAACTGAAGGACCCGGTTTCTAGTTTTCGGATAACAGCTCCAATCTTTTTTGCAAATTTAAATTTGTGCTTGGGGAATTGTATTCTAATTGTAAAATGTTGATGAAAATGCTACAGCGTCTTAAGGAATGATCGGCTGATCCTATTTGACACCCCCTTGACCTATGAGGGAAAACCTGAGGGGTGTCTGAGTGTCCGCCATTTGATATGGGAAGAAAAATACGCAATCTTGTTTACGCTACTTAGTGGATGAAACTAGCTAAAAATTGTGATTTTACCCTTTCATGTAACATTTGTGTTCCGTTTGTTTTGATGAGCCAAAAACACGAAATTAGTGACTCCTAGTTGTGATTTCCTCTAGCACATATACAAACATTTTATTAAAGATCACATGACCTATTCTAGGATAGCTAAGTTGTGATTCTTATGATGTTTACCGTAACAAGTTTCTGCTTAAGTAGCTAGTCTTCTGGTGTTATAAAAATTCTTTGTTCCATGCACATGTTTGGTTACTGTTGCTGCGTTGCACTGTGTGCTGATTTGTAGAGGTATACATTGGTAATGGGTGTGGTTTTGAATTGGGAATGAAACATGGCCCATGCAGGGTCTGATGAAACACCATGAAGAGATAATAGATTACTTCATAGCCCGAGGCATCTCGGCAATTTTCCTCTTCAGGAGGAATCTCTTGCGCAGAACCATTTCAGTTCTTGCAAACTCTTATGACAGAGATGCTAAGCTCTTGAACGGGACTCACAAATCCCACGTTCATTCTCCAAAAGAGGTCTCTCTCTCTCTCTCTCTTGTTTATCCTCATCATTGATTCTGTGAGTTAAAGGTATAAAATAACGGTTTCAGGCTGAAATATTGGCACGCTACAAGCCGAGAATCAACACAACCCTTTTGATACCCGATCTCAAGCAGGTTCAAGAGATGACTTCGAAAGCTCTGGCATACTTTAACACCACCCGCCACATCGTTGTGTACTACGAGGATGTTGTCAAGAACCGCACTGTAAGACACTTTCTTTGTTGGAAATCAGGAAAAAAAAAGATCATTTTGGCTACGAGATCTTGATCAGCTTCACTACACACACGTTCTCATCATCTCTGGACGGTTGTTCTTGCAGAAACTAGACGATGTGCAAGAATTTCTGAAGGTCCCAAAACTTGAGTTGAAGAGTCGGCAGGTGAAGATTCATCATGGGCACCTATCGAAACATGTAGAAAACTGGGCAGAGGTCCAAAATACCCTAAAAGGGACCAAGTTCGAGAACTTCCTACATGAAGATTACCGCAAGTGATCTAACCCTAGGACTGGTGGTGTACATAACTTGCTCTTGAAGTAACAATCTCTGCCTCTCTTCATTTCTTGTTCCTGGGGCCTGCGTGGGATCATATCAACTCGCACCAACTCGTAAGAAAAGTTTTGGTTCTGCCTTCACGCAAAATTTTGCAAGTCCTCTCTACTACTTTCTGGTTTTCCAATTTCTGATCAGTTGATAGTTGATATTCAATTCAATTTATTCCTTTTTTTTAATCGGTTTCTCTTGCATATATGGGAAATGGGGAGATCTATTGTATTGAAGAAGAAGAAGAAGAAGAATTTCCGTTCTTCTTCCTTTCTTCTTCGACTCCATTAAAACATCTTCATGTCAATGTTTACTAGATCTGATGAATCATGTTCTTGGCTTGGTTCTTGGTTCTGCCCCGTTTTCTGCGGTCTTTTTTATGCAGTTACGGAGTGTACGGTATCTTTGGTTGTTGAACATTATGTGCAGTTCTGAAGTCTCAGGTTTCATGGGCCAAGATGAGGTTGTTCTTGAGATTGGTAACCTTAACTTTCTTTTTTCAAGCTTTTTTTTTCAAAGTATATGACTAGAGTCTAGAGCCTCTCATGAATTATGCATTATCTGAGATAGACATCAGCCTCTGCAATGCTCACTTCTTCTTCGTCTGTTACTTAGCTTCATACCTTTTCTTTCTTTCTTTTGTTTATTTTCATAACTGGCTGTATGAGCTTGTGTTACTGAAAGCAACATCATTAGAAACCCGGTTTCCGATTCTGTGAAGGGCAAACCAAATCGCGGGTCAAGCGATTTGGCGAAAGTTTCCGGATAATGACATGAACATGAGGAAAAAAGCTTATAGCCTCTCTGGTTGAATTGACTGTGGTGAGAAAGTTCATTGCTTTCGGCTCTGCTCCTCCTCTGCATTCTTCCTCTTTGTGTGATGGAACAGGGGAAAAACAGAGTCCAGCAGATCTCTCTGTCTTCGGACGAGGCTGACATATGCTGATGTTATAGATGGCTTTAAACCCTCTCTTTCCGTTAGAGACTCTAAACCCTCTCTTTCCGTTAGAGACTCTAAATCCTCTCTTTCCGTTAGAGGCTCTAAACCCTCTCTTTCCGTTAGAGGCTTTAGAAAATTAGAAGTTTTGCGCAGCAAACCTGAGCCACCCTTGTCGTAAGAATATTTAGATTATTTTTTCTTATTAATATATAAATCATCTAATATAGAAACACAAATGGTGATTAACGGCGATAAACAAAATCTAGTGTAATAACGATATATACATTGATATGATAGTTTAAACAAAGGGGGTTAGTAGCATGAACATGTTTTAAACACTTCGATTCCTTTAAATATTTAAATGTTTATACATGCGAATAATAAAAAGTCAATTTTGGTAAGCTGCGCAACCTCTTAGATAACGACATTTGTGGATGGATTTCATATTATTATTCGTTATGATTATTGTTATTATTGCAATCCAAAAATCTAATAAATTGACATGAAATGGTTATAATAATGCATCATGGACCGTTGCTTCATAAAAGAATCGCCATTCAAGCAAATCTCTGGCAGCAGAGTCAGCTTAGTTGCGTGCATGTATTTGTTTCTGTATATATATACACACACACTTGTATTCTCATGTTGAGTACATTGACTGATCAAAACTTTGAATCTTGGGGGAAAAAAATAAGATTTAGGGATGGCGTATCGTTATTATTTATTCCTTATCATCACGAAAAAATCATTGAGACGGATAAAATCATATTTAAGATCTTAAGTTCGATTCCACTAGTAGTTAGAACTCTAATTTATGGATTAAAATGATCCATATACAAAGGTTGATTCTGGACTAGGGTAGATGTAATCGGATCGAAGATCCGGGAACCATCTTGGTTATAAAAAAAATGATTGAATGTCAATTTTGTGTATTGAAAATCAATGTTGTATATATATGATTGTGAAGGCAAATAATTTTTTTTTTTTGGAATGTTGCGGCCGCCATTAGGTATGACAATTTCATGAATTTATCATTATTATTGTTATTTAAAGACCCGACGGCCCTATTTTATTGAAACGTTTCAACTTTGTGCAATCACCTTTCGCTTCCAATTATATATTGTAGTTTGACAATTATATGTTATTCTGTTTTTCAACTTGTCACTTCCAGAAGAATGGCACAAAACCATTTTCAGTACAAATTATGAAAAAAATATTATATATAATAATAAGAATTTCGTAACTGACCCACTAGTGGGTGGTATGTGACAAGCTTTTTGAGGTTTGGGTTTGATTTCGTGGAGAGACTAAAGATTGATTTCGAACTCAGAAGATTAAATGGATCGAAAACCAAATAAGCATACTAATTATAATGTAAAAATTAATATTTTAATTTAAATTTGTCCATTAGACCATAACAATATGTAAAAACGTATTATCTAATTTCATCATGAGAATCTGATATAACTAAATAAAAAAATCGAGTGATTTGGTATTAGAGTATGATATAAAAGCATGATATTGAATCACTGATAAGTTGTATGTAATGTACTCTTCTTTAATTATTTCTCATTACTTGGTCAATTTAATTGTACTATTTACACATGTTTGTTTTATAGAAGTGAAAGCATATTCGGAAATGTAATTGTTAATTTGAAAAAAAAACTCATTTTGGTCCAAACGCTTTAGAGAATAGTATTTAAATTTAAATTTGTGCCTAATAAAAAGGGTTTGTCTCCACTTTAGAGATTGCAAAAATTATGTAATAATGACGTCACGACCCCATGCAGTTGGTGAAGACTTATAAAGGCAACTCCTCGTTCAATCCCACCAGGCATTTGCCCCATCTCTCTTTTTAACTGACAAAGTCAAGCTTTTCGCCTCAAGAACCAGAGAGAGAGAGAGAGAGAGAGAGAGAGAGAGAGAGAGAGAGAGAGAGAGAGAGAGGGCGCCATTAATGGAGACAGAAGTGGCAGTACCATCTCACGCCACAGAGTTCAACTTCGACAGCACGACTTCATCCCCATACATCACAGCTCCTTCAAGCCCTACTCGATTCGGCAACGCCTTCCTCTTCTTCAGCGCACCCACAAGCCCTTCTCCTTCCGATTCCGCCCCTTTTCGCAGCTCGAACACGCCCTTTGATCCACCGTCTGCTGATGAATTCTCCAGGAAGAGATCTTCGGCCAGCGTCGATTTCCCTCAAGACTTCGAGTTCGATTTCAGTGGGCAGTTGGAGAAAGGCTCCTTCTCTGCAGCTGATGAGCTCTTCGACGGCGGAAAGATCCGTCCTCTCCGACCGCCTCCGGCTTACGAACAAGCCTCATCAGCTGTTTCATCTCCAAGATCTAAGGCTCTGAAGAAAGATGGGTTTGACCGGTCTCAGAAGGAAACAGATGAAAAACACAGTAAAACGGTGTCGGATCAGAAACATCGAGGAAGAGAGCGGTCTTCTTCAGATTATGTTCACAAGGGAAGCCGTTCTTTGTCTCCGTTGAGGGTTTCAGACATAATGCTCGAGGAAGAAGACGATAACTCATCAGCACAGTCTGCCAAATTCGGTCCTTCTGCAGCAAGCAACCGCAAGTCCTCGGTCTCCTCCGCGATATTCTCGGCCTTGTCGTTTCCCGGGAGAGCCTACAAGAAGTGGAAACTCAAGGACCTGTTGCTGTTCAGAAGTGCGTCCGAGGGAAGACCTGTTCCGATCAGACAATCCCTAAGACAGTACGAGATTCTGTCTAAGAAAACGGTCGAGGAAGAAGCAAAGAACTCGAGTTTCCGGTCAGTAGAAAGCAGCGGCGGTTCCTCGGCTGGCGGATCTCGGAGGAGGCCGCCGGCGGTGTCGGCTCACGAGCTGCATTACACAGCGAACAGAACGGTGTCAGAGGAGCTGAAGAGGAAGACTTTCTTGCCTTACAAGCAAGGTTGGTTAGGGTGCATGGGGTTTAACCCTGGTGCTCATCACATTGCCAGAGTTGGGTCTTTGACACGTGGGGTCTCTTGATTTCTCTCTCTTTTTTCTTCTGAATCTTATCTCATAATTGTTTAAACGTTTTGTTGTCTTTTTTTTTTTTGTTTAATTTAATTCAATTTCAACGGTCCATCAACTTGATCGGAATGTCATATTTGTTTCATATTCATACATACTACAAAGGGATTTAAATAAACATTGAGAATTTCAACGAGTTTCCCTGTTTCCTATTCTTGTAAATATTATTCCGTTAAATATTAGAGAAATATTGTTTGGATTTAGGTTTTTGAGATAATAATTGAATGGAAATCGAAATACAATGTGTATATAATTTTTATTAATATATAAACTTCCCACATTTTCGAATTTTAACTAATTAATTATAGAACATGTCGTTCGCATGATCTAGTTATTTTATTTATATATATATATATATATATATACTTTCCTTCAATAATAAGGTTTCTTCAATATCTCTATCCAACATATAAATTCATAAGTGATTTATGAAAAGATGACGACAAGCTTTTTTTTCTTCAGAATAACTAGTAAAACAAATTCTAAGTATTCCAATTCCATTAATGTGATTTATTAACCTCTCAACAGGAACATAATTCGTATTCATTATAGCGAAGTGTTAATCAATACACTTACATGAGAAATAAATATAAATGTAAACACGAATTTTGTATCATTCTATAAGAATACGAATTGTAGATAACTCATATATATATATAAACGAGAGAACTGGTTTTGATCTGAGTTTTGTCTAAAAGTTATGGATGATGATTATGTATTTCAGTCGTCATTTCAAATGCATTTTTCTCTATAAAAATAAAAATAAATATACAAAATTGCGAAAATGGTTCCTAAATTATAGTGAATTGAAGGGTTGAGAGAGAAAGAAAACCCCACATGGGGTCTAGGGTTATTGAAAAAAAAGGGGTTTAATTGTGGAAATAATTAATTACGGCGTAATGATGATCTTAGCAGTGTACAAAAATAAAAGTTGTTTTATATTTCTAATAAAAAGATGATAATTAGTTAGCTAATTAGGGTTTATTAAATCATTAATACAACCTAAGATGAGTTATGTTGCAATCATTATGAACTCTTGGGGCAGCCCACGATGTTTTGATTTTTATTATTTTTTGTATTTTTTTTGTACTTGAAAAGTAAAGGAGAGCCAAAAGAGAACTCTGATGTTCTTTAAGTTTATACACTTTAACATCTTGAATTTTTTTTTAAAAGATATGAAAAGTAATAATAGACCGGCCAAAAGGTTGGTTATATAAATCAATCGTTTTGGTGTTTGATTATTAGATTGGGATTCTATACTTTTTTTATAATTAGGGTATTGATATTATATTATAGATTTCGATTGATTGCATAGTAAAATTTAATTAGCATGATGAATTACAATTATGTTTCCTAGTTATATGATTCTGTTCCATTTTCTCCATCATTGTTATCGAATTGTAAAAAAGATATTCCTTTTGTGACTGCAGTGTTCACACAACGCAAAACATGTCAGAACTCCAAGTCAATGTAACCCCGCGTGAGTTTGACCAATTTGGTTTGATCCGGTTTACTTTGGTTAATTTTGGTTAAAATGAGTAATAAGATTGTCTCCAAATCTTGATTGCCAATCAAAACCAAGAAAGACAAAACAGAACTGTGTGATTCATTAACTGTATCTGCACGTTCTGTACCGGAATGCCG